CCCCACCCCCACCTCATCCCCCTCCCCCCCACCCCCAGGCACGAACCCAAGCTCTAACTGGCAGCTGGGGCTGTTCGGTGGGTGCCGCCGAGAGGAGCTGGCAGTTGGGGCGGAGGAAGCGTGTGTCACCGTGTGTCACCGTGTGTATGTTGGGGCTGTGCTCACAGGGGTATGTGCAGGAGGCGCCTGGGGAGTGAGGGGCTGCTGTGGAGTGGGGGTGTGTGCACCAGTCTAAAAGGATGTGGGCGCGCGCCCGCGTGCACACCCCACAGGGCTCCTGGAACACACAAATCCATGCTGGGAGCACACAAACATTTTCTCAAAGTCCTTTCTACCAACCACACACACAAGCCTCCTCTTGCTAGGGCACAAAGTCAGTGGTAGCTGGGCATTCTCCACCCCCCACCCCACCCCCTCTCTCTCACACACACACACACACACACACACACACGTGCTCCAGCCCTTAGACATTGTATGCACTGTACTAGTTCGACAGAGGGTGGGTGCTGATACAATTAAGTAGAATCACAGTATGGGTCAGCCTCTTTATGCTAAGTTTATTGTGTCTTCCTGTCAGCTCCCGAGGCAGGGGTGGGGTGGGGAAGGGGACAAGGTAGGCAATGGGGATCCCTGACAGCCACCAGGGGGTTCTCTGGAAGAGGCAAGCTGGACAGGGAAATAGGTGTGTGAGTTGGGGAGGGCTGAGGAAGAGGAAATGAGGGGCCGAGGAGGGTGGGAGGAACCCTCCGAATGGATCCCATGCTTCTCCCTTCTGAATGGTTTCAGGCCACCAGGGAGGTTGCAGGGCGGGAAGATTGGGGCTCAGGTACCTTTACCTTCACAAGAGGTCCCATGATGGCCTTCACCCTCTGGCTAACTCTCAGTCCCCTCCCCCTAACAAAGCTCACTTTCTGTACTGAACCAGTGGCAGGTCGCTGGGCACTCTCTCACACAGGACTGTGCTCCGATTAGGAGAACTGGAAGGCTTTTTTCTCTGGTAACAAGGCTCTGCCACCAGAAGGTGACAAGCGAGGGATTTTATGCAGGAAGGCCCCTCTCTAAGGCGGTGAGCACCTGTGAATCCGTAGGTACACACTGGGCGCCAGTGACCGGCCAGCTGCAAACACCGGTGTGCTAGTTGTCCTCCTGTTCTAGAAACAGCAGTAGCACAACTAGACTAGGAGCTGGAGACCTGGTCAACCCCAATTCTAGCACTTACTGTGTGATGTCCAGCAATCAGATGACCTCTCTGCCTCCCAAACACCGGGAGATGCCCTGTCACTGTCAGAGCCATGGGGGTTTTCCTAAGGTTCACATAGACAGTGCGCGTGTGTCGGCTGACAGATGCCCCCTGCCTCATAAGGAATGGTGTGCAGGTGTGTGGCTGTGCATGTGCAGGGCGTGTCCAGTTCTGGCCCTGCCAACTGAGCGCAGTCTTTGGAGCTGGGTCTGTCCTGACAGGCTGTGGGAGCTTGGGCAAAGTCCCTGCCTCTTCTGGCTCTGGGTCCTCTGCTGTAAGAGGACAGTCCTGTGCTCTCTCCCCTGGGCTCCAAGTGGACAGTGGGGGAGAGGTCAAGGTGAAATCATCAGAAAGGGCTAGGGGTTGTGTGCGAGGACAACAGGGCCAGAAGTGGTGTGATTCTTCTCTGGAAGGCTGGAAGCCAGACAGTCTAACCAACTGGACTGGAGTCTGACCAAAGGACTTGGACCACAAGTGGAGGCAGCCCAGGGGCATGTTGTGGACGGGGAGACAGGTGGTCAGAGGCGTGGGCACAGGCTACATTCGTCTGGTCTGCAGCTCCCCAGAGCCCAGCGGGAAGCCGAGGGGCAGGTGGCCTGGGAGGCTGGGAGCTGGAAGCTCCCTCAAACGAGGTGGCATGTCTTCTGTAACCGGCTGGAGGAACACAGAATGGGGAGAGCCAGTGTATTTGTCCACCCCTTTGTTCTCCAGGGCCTCTGTGACTGATGCCAGCCCTGCTCTGCTCTCCCAGTGATGCACCCCCATACCTCTGCCCGTGCCACTCCCTCCTCAGCCACCCTTTCCCCATCTCTGTGTCTTCCCATCTCCTCGACTCCCTCCATCCTCATTTCCTCTCTCTGGCCCCTCCCACCTCCCCCTGCCCCTTCCTCCTCTTCACACCCTCTTCTCTTCCTCCCTGCCCTCCCCTCTCCCTCTCACCCACCCTCCCTCCCAGTTCCTTACTGGGGACACTGGCAAGTCTTCTTCTCACTGAGGAGCCGCTTGATCTGAGACATCCGCTGTGCCTTGCGCTGTCCAGGGAGAAGGAGGGGAGTCGTGAGGTTCCCAGGCCTCCAGGAGGGAGCTGCCCCTTGGAGGGGGGAGAGGGGGAAGCTGGGAGAGGAGAAGCCATGACTATAGCGGAGGCCATCTGTCCCGCCATTAGCTAGCTCTCTGCTCCTTCCTGTCTCTCCCTTTGGGTGACACTTGGGACTGGCTCCTGTGTCCAATGAGGAAACTGTGAGCAGAGAGCTCCGGACCAGGAGCAGGTCATATGTACACCTGCTGCTACCCAGGCCCCAGGTGCTCCAGGGGGCCAGTTGGGCAGTGGGGTGTCATTGGCCATGAGGGAGGGTCTGGGAGACTCACTCACCCGCCTGTTCCTGCATGTGACGCACAAGATGCAACACACAAGGAGGATGAGCAGGAGGCCGCCGCCCAGCCCTGCACCCAGGAGGATCGCGGGCTGATTGGAGAAGTGGTCTGGGGGCGAAACTGCAAGAGACAGAGTGTGCTCAGACCACTGCCCTTCATCCGGGACACAGGGCCCTCTGGAGGGGCAGGGGAATGCGGACCGCCCAGACTGGGCGTCAGACTGGGGTCTCTCAGGCTCCCAGGGCTTTGGTGGCCTTCCAGGCCTCGGAGCAGCAGAGCTGCAAAGAAGTCTATGTTTTAGCGATTGCAGGGGTCTCATAAGTATTGTGGTTCAGGGTGTGTGTGTGTGTGTGTGTGTGTGTGTGTGTGTGTG